ACAGAGCCAAGCCTGTCCTGCCCCAGTCGCTGTGCAGGGCCAGCTCAGCCGTGCCGCTGGGACTGTGGCCCAGGGAATGGAGGGGCAGAGCGCCACGGGCACATTCCACTGTGGTTTACCCACAACTCACCAACCCAAATCCCAGTGTCTTCCCCAGGCATGGAGTAAGTCAGGGTTGGGAGGGTTCTGGGGGTGGTGCAGATGGAGATCTTCGGTAGGGCTCACTGGACCCTGTCCCTCTGCAGGGAGAGGAGGTGGGATGGTCACTCCCATCCTTGATTTTAGAGCTGTCAGGGTTCCCCGACTACTGCATCCCCAAAGTGGGGAGAAGGTCAGGCATTACGCAGCAGCTGGTTCAGACTGGCATTGCACGTGGCCAGGCCAGCAACAGCCACAGCTTTCACCTTGCACCCACAAGACCATCAGAATGTCATGCTGGCTCAGCCTGAGCTTCTCAAATCCTGGCATGTGGTGAGCAGGGAGAAGACTCGGAGCAGAGGTCACATGCTGTTTCTCCCTGAGATGTTCATCAGACTCCAACATCCACAGCACAGGGAGGGCCTGAGCCTTCAGCGCTGAAGCACCTGATGTGCCTTAATAGATTTTTTTTTTCTTTTCCCACCCATTTGAAGTTTTGAACCCACCCACATACCTCTCCCCACCCTCGCTGGCCCTACCCACCTTCTCTGCCCTCCCCTCTAACTGCATATTGATGTTTGGCTGCCTCGGCTTGATTTGAACCCAGCACCCATGTTAGGATACATAGCTTAGGGTGCCCCACTCCCCTCACTGCACCCATCCCGTCCTGCCCTGGGATGCCCTGCAGCCCACAGCTGCCCCATCTCAAAGCTGGCTGGAGCACAGGGACAGCTTGGAGTGAGAAACGCGTTCATTAACCACGATATGGAAAGCTTCACACGCAATTAAAGCAGCATAAATTCAACGTAGCTTGATTCACCGCGGAATTGAATTAAGAGCACTTGAAATTTGGAGTAAGACTATCTCCTGGGGATTCAATGTGGTTTCACTAATATACTTTAGAAGATAATGTAGGTTCATCTTCCCGAGTGTCTCAGCACAGCCAGGTCTGCCAGGCTCAGGCACAGCCCCAGCAGTGCTGCTGTGCTGCAGCACTGCAAAAAAACGCAGGTCCTTACTCAGCAAGTACTTTGGTGTTTCAGTCAGGGCCTGTGAGGAGCTGGCAGGCAGGGAGATCCCACAGCCCTTCCCAAAGATGCGGCAGGTCCCCATATGTCCCCAGCCCTGGAGCCACATGGAGGGCTGGGGAAGAGGGAAGGGGAGCTCAGCTCCTGCACACCATTGGGGAAGGCAGCTGAAGAGCATTCCCACAGCTTTTACCACCCAACACAGCCGTGCTTGCTCCCTCCTGGTAGCAGTGTCCCCTCCAGCAGCCACAGTGTCCCCAG